CAACCCCCCCCCCCTCCCCCCTCGGCTCGGACATCCTTTGTGAATGGCCCCTTAGTGTTTTGTTACAAGTATCCCAAAGTGGAGATTGTAAATATTCACGTAATTCAGTCTTTGTCTGCAAAGTGTTTTTATATTGAATAAACGAATTATCTATCTATCTCTCAGTTGGCAGAGTGCAGCTGCAAGAACTCTTCTCAAATGTCAATAAGGCGAAATATATGTAAAAGTTATATTTCCTGCAGCCGCATCAAATAAACGTTTACACAAACGAAAGCATACGATATGATATCATCTCTATTTCCAGGAAGTCAATGCAACCAAGTCACAGACACCAGGACCACGAGGACCTGTGGGGCCTGAGGGACCGAGAGGGGCACGAGGAGCACCAGGGGTGAATGGTAAAGATGGATCACCTGGCAAGACTGGAGCGTAGGGATCTCAAGGACCTCGGGGTGTACGAGGTGTTCAAGGTCCCCCAGGACAAACTGGTGTCCAGGGCCCGCGCGGAGAACAAGGTCCCAGAGGTCCACCCGGGCAGGATTGTGTGAATACTTTACGACAATGTCGTTTTAAGACTAAGACAGCCGGAGCGAGGCAGAAGGATTATAGATACGTGTACGTCTACGCTAGAGCCAGTCAGGTAAGAAATATTATATAATAACTACAGTGAAACACGCAATTTGATTGGTGCAGGATAGCCTGATCCTGCACGGCTATTGACGAGGAATTAAAATGCCTTCGCGGGATTTTCGCGGGATTCTCAAAATGTCATTGTTTCACTGTAGTTATTTTATAAAACAATTACCAAATGGTTTTCCAAGCAGGATAGCGTGGTCCATGCACTTGGGATGTTGCTCGACTTCGTTTTTACGCTTTCGGAAAGTTCTAAACTAATTAACTTGTTGTTTTTAGTCTCCTGTCCATGTACTGTATGTTATATGTTCTGTACTGTATGTGTATTTTTGTATAAGGGCCCACAGTAATTAGTTTACACTGTTCTGGTGTCGACGTCCCTGCCATTCTTGTCCATGTTTATTGTCTAGATGTCTATTTCAGTGCTGTTCTGTTACGTGTTTTTGGCAAAGTTTAATAAATAAATAAATAAATAGATAAATAAATAAATAAATAAGTCTCGCGACATCCCTCGTGCATGGATCACGCAATCGTGCACGGAAAACCATTCGGTATTCGTTTAATGTTCCTTGATCTCAGAAAAGTTCAAGTATGTGGCCAATGTGGGCGTGCGTGAACATTTATATAGGGAAACGCAATCAAATAGGTGGGCATATTATGCAAAGTTCAACTATAACGAGTGGTAAAATCACTACCTGAGTACCTCTGCTCTAGTGTACTGTATAATATGCAGTTGAAGAGTGTATTTGTATATGGAGGACGGTAGTCTCATGTTTCAAACAGTTATGTCAAATATTCGATATAAATCGAGCCAAAATGACTGAAACAGTTGTCAATAAACTACGTTTCGTGAAACAATCGTATTTCTGATCTATCTCGGCTATTATTGGCATGTTCTTGATAGGCTTCAATAAACGTAGAAAAATCAAATTTCTTTTCACAATCCTTTAACGCTTTGTAGAACGAACTCGCGCGGGAAACTAGCAATTAGCTAATGAACCAATTAGCTTAAAAAGAAACAATCAAGCGCATGTAATTACATGACGTAAACGCGTGACGTAAACGTGTTTTTATATGATTTTGAGGTGTCTAGATAGATCTATTTAGAAGTATAGAACTATATTATCAAAGATCATAGGCATCATAGAACCATATAACTATAGAAACATAGAATCATAGAAACGTAAAACCATGTAACCATAGAACCTATTGAACCATAGAACTATTGATCTGTATAGAACTGTAGAACCATAAAACTGTGGAACCATGTGACCATAGAACTACTGAACCATAGAACTATTGAACTGTATAGAAGCGTAGAACCTGACAGAACTGTAGAACCATCACTGTAACCATAGAACTACTGAACCATATAGAACTACTGAACCGTAGAACTATTGAACTGTATAGAACCGTAGAACCATAAAACGGCTGTAGAACCATGTAACCATAGAACTACTGAACCATATACAACTATTGAACTGAATAGAACTGTAGAAACATAGAATTGTAGAACCATCGAACATGTAGAACCATAGAACATGTAGAACCATAGAACTGTATAACCATAGAACTGTAGAACTATAGAACCGGCATAGAACTGTAGTATCAGAACTGTAGAACCATAGAACTATAAAATTATAGAACTATAGAACCATAGAACTATAAAATTGTAGAACCATATAACTATAGAACCATAGAACTGTAGAACCATAGAACTGTACTAACCATAGAGCAATAGAACTAACCGTAGAACCATTAGAACTATTACTATACAACCATTGAACTACAGAACCATTAGAACTATCATAGAAATATAGGACCATATAGAAATATAGTGCCATTATATAGCCGTAACATTACATGACGATAGAACGATATAGAGCCATATGGAACTATAGGACATTAGAACTATAGAACTATGTATAGAATTACTATAAATTCATAGAAATGTAGAACCATAGAACAATAGAAATATGATATTTGTTGTGTTGGTGTAATGTACTCAGGTGAATAAGATGCTTGTGATGTTACTCTGAGTGTATATCCACACTGGGCAGGCTTGAAAAATATGCCTGGCCACGGTGGGAATCGAACCTATGCTCGTATTCCAAAGGTCGTAGGTTCGATTCCCACCGTGGCCAGGCGTATTTTACAAGCCTGCCCGGTGTGGATATACACTCAGAGTAACATCAAAAGCAAAATAGAAATATGTCACCATGCATTTACCATAACAACTATAGGACCATTAGAACTGTAGAACTATGTAACCATAAAACTATAAATTCATATAAATGTAGAACCACAGAACAATAGAAGTATGTCACCATGCATAGACCATAATAATTATAGGACCGTTAGAACTATACATAGAACCGTTGAATTTGGCTGATTTTGCACCGGCAATCAATCTCTGAAACTGACTACATTTCTACCGAGATGTTGTTTCGATGATGTTCAAAATAGCATATCAACATGTCGTTTATTTTTATTTTTTATGTAACATAATGGTATATCACATGGGCAAATCATTAAATTAAATTAAAAATTAAAGGTATAACAAAATCCCAAAACACATAAAGACACACAGGATTCGATTTTGAAACATTTTTTACAGTAGTAGGTAGGAATTACAGATTCGCATGTTACTTGCGAAAAAAATTGCGCGCAGACCGTCGTTTGCTAAGGGTTAGCAGTCACACAACATTCCGAACTTCTTCGGAAGAGTCGACTATGTTGATCAGAACCTCTCAGAATCGTCCCTATCAAATCAAACGTTTGACGGCATGTCTGAACCTTCTCCAATTAGCCGTGTCGTGACACGCTTGGGGCTAGGGCATGCACTCGACTCGACATCGTGAACACATCCTTGTAACAATTGGGATGGGTTATGAAGTTTGTCATGTCATACACTACGCCACCCGTAAACAGAACCACTTTTCGGCGACGCTCCCTCCCTCCCTCCCTTAGGGGCCTGTTCGTTTTAGGCTCATTTGGGGAAGGGCATAAGTGGTTGGGCAAATAACTTTTTTTCAACAGAGATGGGGGCATTTTAGAGAGAGGGGGAAGCTTAGTAGAGGATTTAAGATGACATGTAAATCTCTCTCGAAATGTAGTTCAGTTCATATTAGGCAGCGTAGTTCATATTGTATAACGTTGACTCCATCACATTCATCCTTCGAGGATGAATGTCGAAGCCCAAGTCAAGCGCAGCACAATCCCAAGCCCCTCCCGCATCACGTCTGGTATATTAGGTCAGATAGAGCCACGTCGTTGGACGAAAGATATCGATAGTTCAGATTCCGATATGGTCTGAAACAGCCAAGAAAACCTTTCCTACGAAGATCAGTCAGACGCGCAACCGATCATCCTAAGTTGAAAACGACGGTCAAACGCACGCAGTTTTTCCAAATACAGGAGACGTATACAGTACAATAAAATCCCGGTCCAAGACCAAAGACGACAACATACTAGCGCACGGTGTTGCGCCTTGTGCCCCTGCGCAAGACAGCACGATCCCGCGCCGACCTAAGCAAGACACGGATGGTGGAATCCAGTTCTTTCACGTTGTTGAAGAAGATCTCGATTTCTTCTCCATCGTTGACATCAGACAAGTCAAACGCAGGGAGACTTGCCTTTGGAAATGGGAATCGGGTTGCGCTCTAGAAAATGAATCGAAGAAATCAGCGATTGCATAATATATTTCGAGTGAAACCGTCGGCGAGCGCCTTTCTCTTCTGCAACTAGTTGTTACCGATCTATCTTTTCTAGCGTAAAAATCTCGCAGCTTGTCAGCAAGATATATCAACAAGATATGTTCGCACTGCTTGTTCCCAGTTCTTGACAAATTTGGAAAAATCTTGTTATGATCTTGTAACAAGGTTCATGAGGCCAACAGACTTCGAACAAGTCTGATGTCGTCTGCATGTAACAAGTTGTTAACAGGATGGTAACAGGATGGTAACAGGTTGGTAACAACAAGCTCGTAACAACTTGTTACGAACAGCTTGTGTTAGTCTTGTTGGAACAACTCGTAGCAAGTCTGTTACCGTCGTCAACCTTGTAACAAGGTGTTGTTCCAGATTTGTCAGAACAACTGGGAACAAGCAGTGCGAACACATCCTGATATCGACTTCACAACAACCTTGTTACAACTTATTTACAGATCTGTGACAACTTGCGCGTTCTTGCGCGTATCGTTGAGCGATTTGAACAACTTAAAAACTTACTGGTCGTCTAATACGAGAAACCACAGTTTCAGTTTCATTCTCCTCTTCATAGACTGCTCGTTGACGTTCCCCATTGTCCACGAATCGGTTAATAATTGGCAGGACCTAAAGAATAAATGCATGCGTATCTAGATGTGAAATATTAAAATGTTGGGGAGAGGAACTGGAAAATGTTTAAATTTTGCCAATTCTCATCATAATGGCATGTTGCAACAGGCAAGTTTTCACAAAGAAATTGTGAGCATGGCCACAGCATTCTACTCTGCCGTAAAGCAGAGCCTCCCCCTTTCTCGGAGAAATCAGGCTCTGCTTGCAGGGCAGCAGAAAGTACTGGCCCAAAAACCAAAAGTAAGGTATCACTTTTCGTTACTAAGAAGCTTACGCATGTATTTATGTATGGAAATCTTGTTTTGTATTTACTTCGCATGAATTTAATGCAGTTTCAAATGTGTAAAACAGAGCTTTAACCTTCTACAGAGCAATTTTGATCAACTTTAGATCTGCTAGAAAAACTACCTGTGGAGTGTAGGCTGTAGGCTGTAAAGGTTTAAAATGCTACCGTACCATACGAGAGTGAAAATATGCATTTTGGCGTTCTACACAGAGCTCATGACTGAAACTTTGATGTAGTTTTAGAAATACCTACCATTAAGAACTTTTTCAGATTGAACCATGACTGGATTCTTCCAGTAATATTCAGTTCGCTGAGGGATCGTTTGAGAATGCATTTTACTTTTGTAGCAATTTTTTCAAAAGCTTTGTATATCAAGTATGCCATTCCGGTGACAGCTGTGCTAAACAACAAGGGTACTCCAAAGACGCCCAATAGAATAGTTAGAATCGTTGTTATGCCGAGAGCAAGGGTGCATAGAATTCCTGCCAGGATGAGGAATGCTGGTACCACTGTTATGACCGCAACAGGGATCCAGATTGGGGCAAACGTAGCTGCCAATGCCATTAAAACCAACTTGAGGAGTTGTTTCATTTGTTTATCGTCCATCGTCTCACTGGACGATCAACACTAAAATTGAAAAAAGAACATAAGATGAAGAGCATAAGTTGTAATAAGACGGAGCTGACAGCTAAAACCTTGAGAAGCGAGAGTTTCCATGAGAGTTTTCTCAACTCTCTTGCCCCAGTCAAACGAGAACAAGAGTTGCATGAGAGTTGACTGGATATTACCCGCGCGATGGCGAAAACTCTCATCAACTTTCATCAACTCCCATAACCAAGCAACCTCAGCAATTTATGGCATGCCCTAATGGGCACACCACTGAAATAATTATACATACCTCTATTCACTATAAATAATAAAACTGACTTCAAATTTTAAGAATACACAAATTTAAGCTTGCGTTTTATTTCTCTTTTCAAACTAGAACTCGCGCAAAGAACTCATTATTAGCTAATTGGCTAATTAGACCTAATTAGGTTATGACGTTTAGAATAGCCGTTAATTAAGTATATGACGTCATCATACGTCACAATCAGTCTGGAAGATTTAATTTGTTCGACTTCCAAGACTGTATCAAGTCATTTTACACGAGCTGCAAACAAATCTGATTTCAAGTCGATATCAGAATTTGTTCTAACTGCCTGTAGGATTCTAGTTGTTATGACAAGTTTGTGACTCGAGTTCTTATCATTGATAAACACAAAGCAAAAATGAACTTGTTTTTTAATTGGCTTCCGAAGACAAAAATGATCAGTCTAGTTGTGACTCATTCCGTACAAAATCTCAGTATTCTTTAGTTTTTATTGTGTTTCATTGTTATATTCAACGAATCACAGAATTAGTTCGTATGGTGTTTACCACTTTGATAGCGTGATATCACAAGTATCAAACCAAAACGTGTTGTATTTTTTTTTGTTTCCTGGGGTGGGTTACCTTAACCCTAGGTTAACCTAAAATTTAAAGCAAACTTTCCAACAACTTGTTTATAAATTTGGAAATATTTCTTTAGAAATCTTGTCTGGATCAGTAGGAGTTTTCTTTTATGAAGTTTTTGTGTTAAGATATTTCAGACGTGCAGAATTACACAAACTAAAACACTAACAGCAGGTTAAATTTTAATCCTGGGTGAGTGCTCGGTCCAGCTTTGACGACCCGGCCCAGGTCGAACGACAATGACAGTTGATGAGAGTTGAGAATCGAGAGTTTGCATGAGAGTTTTCTCAAGTCTCGTGCTCTGGCCAAACGAGAACAAGAGTTGCATGAGAGTTGATGAGATGATAAAACAAAAGTTATTCCGAATAAGGAGTGCATTATATATTAACACACAATTTATAAAGAAAACCCTGTATATTTCGAATCAAATCTGATTCATCTTCAGCAGTGTTTTGCAAGATTTGAATTGATGAGAATTGACTGGATATTACCGCGCGCGTGGCGAAAATCCTCATCATTACAAGTCTCAGCAAAATTTGAACCGGCTCAAAATTGAATGCAACGATGCTACTATAACATTTTAATGACATATTTAATTAACATGCCTTATATACCCGCTATACAAAACTTCCCAATCATTACTCACCTCAATTTATATGAGTATCCTTAATTTGCTCTAATAGGCTTCGATAGAACTTGATAGGCTTCAATAAACGTAGAAAAATCAAATTTCTTTTCAAAATCCTTTAACGCTTTGTAGAACGAACTCGCGCGGGAAACTAGCAATTAGCTAATGAACTAATTAGCTTAATTAGAAACAATCAAGCGCATGTAATTACATGACGTAAACGCGTGACGTAAACGTGTTTTTGTATGATTTTGAGGTGTCTATATAGATAGATCTATTTAGAAGTATAGAACTATATTATCAAAGATCATAGGCATCATAGAACCATATAACTATAGAAACATAGAATCATAGAAACGTAAAACCATGTAACCATAGAACCTATTGAACCATAGAACTATTGATCTGTATAGAACTGTAGAACCATAAAACTGTGGAACCATGTGACCATAGAACTACTGAACCATAGAACTATTGAACTGTATAGAAGAGTAGAACCTGACAGAACTGTAGAACCATCACTGTAACCATAGAACTACTGAACCATATAGAACTACTGAACCATAGAACTATTGAACTGTATAGAACCGTAGAACCATAAAACGGCTGTAGAACCATGTAACCATAGAACTACTGAACCATATAGAACTATTGAACTGAATAGAACTGTAGAAACATAGAATTGTAGAACCATAGAACATGTAGAACCATAGAACATGTAGAACCATAGAACTGTAGAACCATAGAACTGTAGAACTATAGAACCGGCATAGAACTGTAGTATCAGAACTGTAGAACCATAGAACTATAAAATTATAGAACCATAGAACTATAGAACCATGGAACTATAAAATTGTAGAACCATAGAACTATAGAACCATAGAACTGTAGAACCATAGAACTATAAAATTGTAGAACCATATAACTATAGAACCATAGAACTGTAGAACCATAGAACTATAAAATTATAGAACTATAGAACCATAGAACTATAAAATTGTAGAACCATAGAACTATACAGGGTGTATCAAAATAAACGCAATTCATCTTTTGTGCTTAATAACTTTCGAAATACTATTTCTAGTTAAACGCTTTTAGGCTTACTTCAAAGCCTGTTCTTTTCTCTTTCAAACAAACTATTATCCTTGTCTCCAATGCTAGTAATAATTGCACAGGAAAAGATTTAGTAAAACCTGTCATTTTTAGTTGCTGTTTAATTATGCAAGTTTACTATGTTATTGTTTAGTCGGTTTAAATGTTAGAATTTTCTTCTTTAAACTTTAATGTTGTCGTCACTACATCTGGAAAACCACGTAAGAACAAATTAAAAGTATTTTAAAAGAGACCAGGTTGTTTGAAAATCCTAAACGAATGCTAAAAATCGTCAAAACATTCTGGTGTCTGAGCCAGAATGTCATCGATGTAATGTAAACAGAAATTATAGCAAGTTGATGTCAGTCAGCTTAGATGGTCCAAGCCAAAATTATATCGCATTTGAAGTTTCAAACTGAGTTAAAAATACTGGAAGAAAAGCCGTAATTATACTTATTGTTACAATCCATTTAATAAAATGCAACATTTTTTTTGTTTTAATGAAAAAATCAGTTATTTTCATGAGAACGATTTGTTATTCCATCTCAATTTTTTTAATCTCCAATCGCAATAACGTAAAGTATTATTACCCGCGAACCAATGAGTCAAATTTAAGAAACAACCCACTGTTAGAAAGCTGAATGGCTACGCTTTAAAATGAATGTAAACTTTAACGTTTTCGTCTGTTATTTGTTTAGCAATTTACATTTCAGTCGAGGATTGCGCTTTTTTTGATACACCCTGTAGAACCATAGAACTGTAGAACCATAGAACTATAAAATTGTAGAACCATATAACTACAGAACCATAGAACTGTAGAACCATAGAACTATAAAATTGTAGAACCATAGAACTATAGAACCATAGAACTGTAGAACCATAGAACTGTAGAACCATAGAACTGTAGGGTGTAGAACTATAAAACTGTAGAACCATAGAGCAATAGAACTAACCGTAGAACCATTAGAACTATTACTATACAACCATTGAACTACAGAACCATTAGAACTATCATAGAAATATAGGACCATATAGAAATATAGTGCCATTATATAGCCGTAACATCACATGACGACAGAACTATATAGAGCCATATGGAACTATGGGACATTAGAACTATAGAACTATGTATAGAATTACTATAAATTCATAGAAATGTAGAACCACAGAACAATAGAAATATGATATTTGCTGTGTTGGTGTAATGTACTCAAGTGAATAAGATGCTTGTGATGTTACTCTGAGTGTATATCCACACCGGGCAGGCTTGAAAAATATGCCTGGCCACGGTAGGAATTGAACCTATGCTCGTATTCCAAAGGTCGTAGGTTCGATTCCCACCGTGGCCAGGCGTATTTTTCAAGCCTGCCCGGTGTGGATATACACTCAGAGTAACATCAAAAGCAAAATAGAAATATGTCACCATGCATTTACCATAACAACTATAGGACCATTAGAACTGTAGAACTATGTAACCATAAAACTATAAATTCATATAAATGTAGAACCACAGAACAATAGAAGTATGTCACCATGCATAGACCATAATAATTATAGGACCGTTAGAACTATACATAGAACCGTTGAATTTGGTTGATTTTGCACCGGCAATCAATCTCTGAAACTGACTACATTTCTACCGAGATGTTGTTTCGATGATGTTCAAAATAGCATATCAACATGTCGTTTATTTTTATTTTTTATGTAACATAATGGTATATCACATGGGCAAATCATTAAATTAAATTAAAAATTAAAGGTATAACAAAATCCCAAAACACATAAAGACACACAGGATTCGATTTTGAAACATTTTTTTACAGTAGTAGGTAGGAATTACAGATTCGCATGTTACTTGCGAAAAAAATTGCGCGCAGACCGTCGTTTGCTAAGGGTTAGCAGTCACACAACATTCCGAACTTCTTCGGAAGAGTCGACTATGTTGATCAGAACCTCTCAGAATCATCCCTATCAAATCAAACGTTTGACGGCATGTCTGAACCTTCTCCAATTAGCCGTGTCGTGACACGCTTGGGACTAGGGCATGCACTACACTCGACTCGACATCGTGAACACATCCTTGTTACAATTGGGATGAGTTGTGATGTTTGTCATGTCATACACTACGCCACCCGTAAACAGAGCCACTTTTCGGCGAAGCTCCCTCCCTCTCTTAGGGGCCTGTTCGTTTTAGGCTCAATTGGGGAAGGGCATAAGGGGTTGGGCAAATAAATTTTTTCAACAGAGATGGGGGGCATTTTAGAGAGAGGGGGAGGCTTAGTAGAAGATTTAAGATGGCATGTAAATCTCTCTCGAAATGTAGTTCAGTTCATATTAGGCAGCGTAGTTCATATTGTATAACGTTGACTACATCACATTCATCCTTAAAGGATGAATGTCGAAGCCCAAGTCAAGCGCAGCACAATTCCAAGCCCCTCCAGCATCACGTCTGGCATATTAGGTCAGATAGAGCCACGTCGTTGGACGAAAGATATCGACAGTTCAGATTCCGATATGGTCTGAAACAGCCAAGCAAACCTTTCCTACAAAGATCAGTCAGATGCGCAACCGATCATCCTAAGTTGAAAACGACGGTCAAACGCACGCAGTTTTGCCAAATACAGATTAACGGATACAGGAGACGAGTACAGTACAATAAAATCCCGGTCCAAGTCCAAAGACGACAACATACTAACCCACGGTGTTGCGTCTTGTGTCCCTGCGCGAGACAGCACGATCCCGCGCCGACGTACGCAAGGCACAAATAGTGGAATGCAATTCTTCAACTTGGTTAAAGAAGATTTCAATTTCGTGGCCATTGTCTTCATCGGAAAAACAAAATGCAGGAAGACTTGCCCTGGGGAAAGGCATTCGGTATGTGCTCTAGAAAATCAAACGAAAAAATCAGTGGGGTTTCGGCGGAGTCCCTCAGAGCAAATGCTTTTTATGTGAAACATGCAACGCTCTGCCAAAAGTTGTCGGTTTTCTCCGGGTGCTCTGGAGAAATCTCGCAGCTTGTCAACAAGATATATTCGCACTGCTTGTTCCCAGTTCTTGACAAATTTGGAAAAAAATCTAGTTATGATCTTGTAACAAGGTTGATGAGGCTAACAGACTTGCAACAAGTCTGATGTCGTCTGCACGTAACAAGTTATTAACAGGTTGGTAACAACAAGCTCGTAGCAACTTGTTACGAACAGCCTGTATTAGTGTTGTTGGAACAACTCGTAGCAAGTCTGTTACCGTCATCAACCTTGTAACAAGGTGTTGTTCCAGACTTGTCACAACAACTGGGAACAAGCAGTGCGAACACATCCTGATATCGGCTTCATAACAACCTTGTTACAACTTGTTTACACGGATCTGTAACAACTTGCAGGTCCTTTTTTAACATACAAGCTGGAGGGGCAAATGCCCTCCCCCCAGTCCCCCCTTGTGCCCCCACGAAATCACATTTTGCCCCCCAGGAAAAGTCCCTTATACAAACAAACCAGCGAAGATTAACAAATAGATAAACGGAAAGTAAGTTTTAGGCTTTATCCTTTGTCCTTATTTAACAAAATCGATTTAAATTTCTACCACTAAGTGATGATAAATTGTTGTTAATAATTTTATTACTTTTTGGATGCTCAGAATTCAGGAAATAGCATTTCCGGGTTTCAATTTCAAAAAATTTCTGGGGATTATCCCTCTAATAAGTAATGATAAATTAGGTTAATTAATATTCTTTTTTACTTTTTGTGCATTTTCCCCTTTTATTTCAAATACAAGTATAGTTAGCACAAATTTTAAAGCAAATTTGGATGCTCAGAATGCAGGAAATGGCATTTCCGGTCCGTGCTTCAAATTTCAAAAATGTTCTGAGGGAGTACACACCCACACACGTGACCATTGCTATCCTCCTCTAATAAGTAATGATAAATTATTGTTAATTTTTTTTTTACTTTGTGCGTTTTTTCCTTTATTTATCTCAAATACTAGTATAGTTAGCATAAATTTTGGAGCAAATTTGGATGCTCAGAATGCAGGAAATGACATTTCCGGGATTCAAATTTCAAAAAATTTTCTGGGGGAATACTCCCCCAGACCCCCTCCAATCATGCGTGGTATGTCGGCCACACACGTGGCCTTCAGCCTATCCCAATCTAATATATTACCTCACAGAAAGGTACCTTTTCAAAAAATGCCCCCCCCCCCAGGAAAATCCTTAAAAAAGGCCCTGACAACTTGCGCGTTCTTACGGGTGTCGTTGAGCGATTTGAACAACTTAAAAACTTACTGGTCGTCTAATACGAGAAACCACAGTTTCAGTTTCATTCTCCTCTTCATAGACTGGTCGTTGACGTTCCCCATTGTCCACGAATCGGTTAATAATTGGCAGGACCTAAAGGGTAAATGCATGCTTATGTAGATATGAAATATTAAAATGTTGGAGAGAGGAACAGGAAATTAAAATGTTAAAATATTGCTAATTCTCATCATAATGGAATGTTACAACAGGCACGTTTTCACAAAGAAATTGTGAGCATGGCCACAGCATTCTACTCTGCCGTAAAGCAGAGCCTCCCCCTTTCTCGGGAGAAATCAGGCTCTGCTCGCAGGGTAGCAGAAAGTACTGGCCCAAAAACCAAAAGTAAGGTATCCCTTTTTGTTACTAAGAAGTTTAGGCATGTATGATGTATTTATGTATGTATGTATGGAAATCTTGTTTTGTATTTACTTTCGTATGAATTTAACACAGTTTCGAACGTGTAAAACAGTTAAACAGCTTTATTAACCTTCTGCAGAGCAATTTTGATCAACTTTAGATCTGCTAGAAAAACTACCTGTAGGGTGTAGGCTGTAAAGGCTTGAAATGCTAGCGTACTATACGAGAGTGAAAATATGCATTTTGGCGTTGTACACAGAGCTTATTACAGAAACTTTGATGTAGTTTTAGAAATACCTACCATTAAGAACTTTTTCAGATTGAACCATGACTGGATTCTTCCAGTAATATTCAGTTCGCTGAGGGATCGTTTGAGAATGCATTTTACTTTTGCAACAATTTTTTCAAAAGCTTTGTACACCAAGTATGCCATCCCGGTGACAGCTGTGCTAAACAACAAGGGTACTCCAAAGACGCCCAATAGAATAGTTAGAATCGTTGTTATGCCGAGAGCAATGGTGCTCAGAATTCCTGCCAGGATGAGGAATGTTGGTACCATTGTTATGACCGCAACAGGGATCCAGATTGGTGCAAACGTAGCTGCCAATGCCATTAAAACCAACTTGAGGAGTTGGTTCTTCTGTTTATCGTCCATCGTCTCAATGGACGACCAACACTACAATGGAAAAAAGAACATAAGATAAAGAGCATAAGATTTTAATAGGATGGAGCTGACAGCTAAAGCCTTGAGAAGCGAGAGTTTCCATGAGAGTTTTCTTAACTCTCGCAACATTCCCGCGTGTTTGGATCAGGCCATCCAAACACGGAAACCATAACGTAATTGTATAATACTTACCTGTATTCACTGTAAATAATAAAACTGACTTCAAATTTTAAGAATACGTTTTAAGTTTTATGTCTCTTTTCAAACTAGAACTCGCGCAAAGAACTCATTATTAGCTAATTGGCTAATTAGATCTAATTAGGTTATGACGTTTAGAATAGCCGTTAATTAAGTATATGACGTCATAATACGTCACAATCAGTCTGGAAGATTTAATTTGTTCGACCTGCAAGATTAGTATCAAGTTATTTTACACGAGCTGCAAACAAATCTGATTTCAAGTCGATATCAGGATTAGTTGTAACTGCCTGTAGGATTCTAGTTGTTATGACAAGTTCCTATCACTGATAAACACAAAGCAAAAATGAACATGTTTTGTAATTGGCTTCCGAAGACAAAATTGATCAGTCTAGTTGTGACTCATCCTTTACAAGATCTATTCTTTAATTTTTATTGCGTTTCATTCGGTTATATTCAATCAATCATAGAACCAGTTCATATGGCTCCGCCGTGTTTCCCACTTCGAGAGTAATGTCACAAGTATCAAACCAAAACGTGTTGTATTTTTTTGTTTCTTGGGACAGGTTAGCTTAACCCCAGGTTAACCTAAAATTTAAAACAAACTTTCTAACAACTTGTTTATAAATTTGGAAATAATTCTTCATAAATCTTGTCTGGATCAATAGGAGTTTTCTTTTATGAAGTTTTTGTGTTAAGATATTTCAGATGTGCAGAATTAAACAAACTAAAACAGCAGGTTAAATTTTAGAATTGTTAAATCCAGGGTTAGCGCTAGTCCAGCTTTGAACAACCCGCCCCAGGTCGAACGACAATGAGAGTTGATGAGAGTTGAGAAGCGAGAGTTTGCATGAGAGTTTTCTCAACTCTCATGCCCCGGTCAAACGAGAACAAGAGTTGCATGAGAGTTGAAAAGAGTTCAGAAGCGAGAGTTTGCATGAGAGTTTTCTCAATTCTCATGCCCCGGTCAAACGAGAACAAGAGTTGCATGAGAGTTGATGAGAGTTGAGAAGCGAGAGTTTGCATGAGAGTTTTCTCAACTCTCATGCCCCGGTCAAACGAGAACAAGAGTTGTATGAGAGTTGAACAGAGTTCAGAAGCGAGAGTTTGTATGAGAGTTTTCTCAACTGTCATGCCCCTGTCAAACGAAAACAAGAGTTGCATGGGAGTTGATGAGAGTTAACTGGATATTACTGCGCGTGTAGCGAAAATCCTCATGATCAAGTCTCAGCAAAATTTGAACCATCTCAAAATTGAATGAGAGTCGTGAATTGCAACGGTGCTACCTGTGATCAATGCTACTATTCCATTTTAATGATATACTGAATAATTATGCCTTGTATACCCGCTATACAAAATTTTCCAATCATCACTCACCTCAATTTATATGAGTATCCCTGTTAAGTTGTGCTCTAATAGACTTCGATAGAACTTGATAGGCTTCAATAAAGTAGAAAAATCAACTTTCTTTTCAAAATGCTTTATCGCTTAGTAGAACGAACTCGCGCGAGGAACTAGCAATTAGCTAATGAACTAATTAGCTTAATTAGAAACAATCAAGCGCGTGTAATTACATGACGTAAACGCGTGACGTGTTTTTGAAGCAATGCGTGCGAACGCAATTTTCAAACGCGACACGAAACCCTTGGTAACGAGAGACGCTTATAAATAGAAACATGATATTCAATATGGCCGTCGATTGAACAAAATACAGTAAAACCGTTAATTTTAGTTTTATAACGATTAAAAAGTCCTTCTGTTATTCTGTAATGTATTTTTGGACATAGCTACTTGTTCGTGACTGTGTCAGCTGGATTATATTACTCATTAACTTTCAAGAAAAAGGTTTTTAATCGGTCAATATAGATGTTTATATTTTGGAAGCATGTGTAATTTTATGTCTGCAAAATGAGTTCGAAAAGGAGGCCAGTTAGTGCAAGTTTTAAAAAAGATGGAGAGAAGGGAACGACTCAACGTTCAAGGCCATCAACTGCAAGAAGTGCGCGAAGTTTGAACGCCAGTTTTGTGAGTATATATAGAATATTATGTTCTTAATATAGTATTGGTTTTAACTTTTTTTCAACGAAGTGGCTATATCTACGGACCCGTAAACAGACTTCGCCAGGCTATATTTACGGCATTCTCGTTCTTAGTCTCCATACGGCCTGTATTTATCGTTAAAGTCAAATTAAAACAAAAATAACCCTAACCCCAATCCTTCCCCTAACCCTAACCTCTAACCCTAACCCCTAAAAAAATTAAAACCAAACCTGCGGACTACAACACAGCAGCCATTTGCCTAACCTTCTGAGCTATTTTCGAGCTCGCTGAAATCCTTTGTAAACAATACGCTTAAAGTCCTGATTCCACGAGCGCTTTTTGTCAGCAAAATGCGAAATATTTCGCCTGTTTCTTTTGAATTGTGAGCAATCAAATAGAAATAATTTATTCGAGTGGTCGCAATTCAAAAGAAACACGCGAAATATTTCGCATTTTGCCGACAAAAAGCGCTCGTGGAATCAGGCCTTTATAGTGCCGGTTCGGTACATAGAGTGCCGTAAATATAGCCTGGCGAAGTCTGTTTACGGACCCGTAGATATAGCCACTTTGTTTTTTCAATGGCCCATTTTATGAGAATGGTCGACAATTCGTCCTTAGATATAAACAGTGGTTGTAATTACACGTTTTGTTTGACATTTTATAGAAGTCAGATGTATCTGGTTTGAGTATTACTGGGACAAAAACAGTACAAAGCAAACCTACATCACGTCAAAGACAAAGTATGTCTAATTGAAGTATAAATAGTGCAAAGTGACTATATGACCGGCAGCCGGTCGGTTTATCAAATACTAAATGGCCGGCAGTCTAGTGACTATAGTTGAATATAAAATCTTTTGTTTGCGTTAACTTTTACCGAGCTTGCTGTTAGCTCATACGGCCTCATACGGCAAGGGCGCTGCGTGTGGAAAGTTAAACGCAGTTGGGGTCGGGATGTGTTTTGTCTGACTTTAGCATTGTTTTTTCTTAAACATTTTTTAAAATTTTTTTTCCGACTTTTCTAGGGTTAGGGGTTAGGGTTAGAAAAGGGTTTGGTGTTGGAAATAGGTTTATCTTATAAAAATTCAACTTTAACAATAGTCACTAGACTGCCGGCCATTTAGTATTTGATAAACCATGACCAGCTGCCGGTCATATAGTCACTTCGTAAATAGTGAGTTTTATAGGCCACATGCAACAGATTTGTCAATAGTACACACATAAAAACGCACAAGTTGTTACAGGTCTGCAAACAAGTTGTTACAAATCTGTTCACAAGCTGTTGACAAGTTGTGTTCGCACTGTTTGTTCCCAGTTGTTGTAACAAGTTTGGAACAAGCTGTTAACAACTTGTAACAAGCTTGATGACATTATCAGACTTGTTACAAGGTTGTTCTAACAAGTCTGATACACTGTCATGATATAACAAGAATGTTACAAGGTTGATGACACAAGGTTGTAACAATATAGTTATATCATGACTGCATCGGACTTGTTGGAACCACCTTGCAACAAGTATGATAATATCAACAAGGTTGTTACAAGTTGTTAACAGTTTGTTCCAAACTTGTTGACAACTTGTGACAAGCAGTGTGAAGACAACTTGTTGACGGCTTGTTGATAGACTTGCTGCAAGATGTGTTATTTTCCGCTGGCTGAGGCATGTAAGAAGCGGAAAATGTTTTCTCACACACTGCTGGGGGCCTGATGAAATCAGGGTGTTACAGGGTGGTGCAGGTTATATGAGCATATTTTTGTTGTTGCTCACCGTAGCTTGACAGTATCCCGCCCACCCAGCCCTTTTATGTTTATTAGTACAGAACAGTGTTGGATTGGATATATATGTACTTGTTAGGGCAATTATTAAGCGAGCAATTGTGATGTATGGTAGTTTAAATTAATAAATGTCAAGCTTGCGGCTGATGCTGCAGCAGCTCCCGGCTGACGCTGCAGCAGCTCCCAGCGGTGTGTGAGAAGTGAGATTTGTACGTGTGTATATTATCATCAGGCTTGAAATCATTTTGACCATGAGACCATCCATTGTTCATCAGTGTAGGGATGCACCGGAACTCAATTCCAGCCAGGTAGTTCAGACTGGAAGGGTCTTTTGGGGAGTTCTGGTTCCAGGCGGAACTGACAACAATATGTTGAAAAACAATATGTGCTCATTTGCTTTTGACGTTGTCAGACCCAAACAAGCGGGGGAGGTCCAATTGTCGAATACACTGAGTGAAGAACTATCCTCCCCCCCAAAAAAAACCCCACTATTTCATGCATTTTAGACATGTTTTATGTTTTATGCTAGTCTGAAAGCCACAAATTTGGTATATTGTATGTCATAGATGAAAGCATTACAAGTTTATGCCCCCCCCCAGTTTCTCCTCAGTTAAATTATAATTACAAAATTAGTCCGGAAGAAAAGTATGGGGTGGAGGTCCGGACCCCCCATTCCCCCCGTGGTCACAAGGGCATAATCAGACAACTGCAGGAATCAAACTCATTGCAATCATAGAGGTGAAAGATGTCATACATATCAAAACTTAATAAATCCTTCAGGTTTAAATTTGTCCTATCATGACAAAAATGAACATCGCCCATCAAACAGCACAAAGAGCAAAAAAGATGACCTGAGATTTGGCCATGAACAAGATGGTGTCAGGCAATCTGCAGATGGAAAAAAAGACAAACGAAACAGTAATAAACATAGCTCCTCTGATCCAGTTGAAAAATTTGAGGCTGAAAAAGGTAACTAAAATTATGTTTCAGGGCTTGAAATAGATTAATTGATAAACTGGGGAAAAACGACGGTTTTTTCAAAACTGATTCAACTGACATTGTTCTAGGCAAAAACCCGAGAAAAAAAAAACGAGGAAATATTTTTGAAAAAAATTGTTTGAAACTCAGTTGTATTGAAACAAAAATGGCACCTTGTCAAATTCACGGCACTAGTTTAACATTTTTTGACAAAACTTCCGACTTTCAAAGTTTAAAAATATGAAAACATTGCACACTTAACGGTGGCTTACCACTTACATATTTAGGCAGCACTATACCATTATAGTGCATCTACAGTAAGTGGAGCCACTTAGAGAACACTAACCAATCAGATTGCAGTAGCACAATGTCATGTACATTGTACACTTAACTATATTTTGAAACTTTGATTAATTTAACAGATGATCCATGGTGGGAGAATATACCAGATGAAATCACATTTAGTCCTGCGTCTTCATTTTCATATGCTTCCTCGACATCTGATTGCGTTAAACGCCCTTTCAATGCAAGAAATGATGAACTACGGCCATCCATGAATGACTTTCTAGACCTCTCTGATGAATCTAAGACAAATCTTGTTGAAGAAAGCACGCCAAAACACAAAGAAAACAACAGCGAACGAGTTAAAAGCCCTTATAGAAGCCCTGGCCAGCATCTTGATGGTTCAATAAAAATTGAAAACAATTTAAGAGAAGAAAGGGGTAGACTTGATGAAAATTTTGAAGTGGGTAATAAAATTTCCAAGACTGATGAAACAACTCCTAGAAATGCGAGTGAAATTCCAAGATTAGTCCTCGATGAAAATTCTGGAAAGTTTGATCAGAAATATAGAAAAACTCCAAGGGATGAAAATTATCTGAAATTTGGAGCAGATTCTCAGAATTTTGATCAGAATTCTAGAACATTCGAAAATGGTGAATATTCTCATAAATTTGGAACTGGGTATCAAAAGTCTTTGGATAAAAAATCTTGGAAAACTGATAGGGATGAAAATGATCTTACGTTTGGCAGTGATTTTCAAAATTTTGATCAGATGTGTAGGAAATCTAGTTCAGATCACAATTCTGGAAAAATTGAAAGAGATGAAAATTCTCAGAAATTTGGAACAAATTCCAGAAATTCCAGTCAGAATTCTAGAAAAAATGAGAAAGAGTACAAACCTGAGAATTTTCAGTCAAATTTTCCACTCGACGAATGGCAACGGCGTGATGGTTTGGAGACAGGTGAAACTGATAGAAAAAAGGAAGAAGACGCTGCTCTTACTATTCAAAGGTGTTATAGAGGCTATAAGACCAGAATGCAAGTGGGGTATTCAGCTGTACAGAAAGCGTTGGATGAAAGACGAGCCATTATGGAACGACAAAAGAAGGTTTAGTCATACAAAGTTACAAACCTGTAAAAATGTCATTTTTTCTACTAGCCTATTTTTCTACAGGAGGAAACAGGATTAAAGTGTCTATGCAAGAATTTTTTTATGATTGAATTGCAAAGTTCATTTTAAATCATAATGTAACTTATTTTATAAAACTTTGTTATCTTTCCTGTATGTCAAGATTTTCGACTTTGAAATCTGCTGTGTTGGTGTAATGTACTCAGGTGAATAAGATGTTTTGTGTGATGTTACTCTGAGTGTATATCCACACCGGGTAGGCTTGAAAAATATGCCTGACCACGGCGGGATTCGAACCTACGACCTTTGGAATACTAGCCCAATGCTCTTCCAACTGAGCTACGCGGTCAGGACGGTTCGAGTAAGCGATATTTCGGAACTGAGTCTAGTTCCTTCGATATCAATGTAATCTAATATTTATGAAATCTGCTGTGTTGGTGTAATGTACTCAGGTGAATAAGATGTTTGTGTGATGTTACTCTGAGTGTATATCCACACCGGGTAGGCTTGAAAAATATGCCTGGCCACGGCGGGATTCGAACCTACGTCCTGACCGCGTAGCTCAGTTGGAAGAGCATTGGGCTAGTATTCCAAAGGTCGTAGGTTCAAATCCCGCCGTGGCCAGGAATATTTTTCAAGCCTACCCGGTGTGGATATACACTCAGAGTAACATCACACAAAACATTTTCGACTTTGTTTGATATACAAATGTGACTTGAATGACGTCACACTGCATAACGAGTTTTTAGAAAGAAAATGTTTCTTTGCAAAACATGTGATAATCCACTGACATTGAAGTACTGTTTAATAAACGAGCAAGCGTGTTTTATTAGGTTTAAAGCCACGAGCGCGCAGCGCGATTGACTTTAGACCTAATAAAACACGTCCTGCGAGTTTATTAAACGGCTTCAAACACGACTACAAATTCAATAGATATACTGCCTTATTAGTATTCTTTATATAAAGAATACTATTGAGGACACGACTACAATAGATACCGCCTTATTAGTATTCTTTATATAAAGAATACTAATTAAGAGTGTTTTATCAGGTTTAAAGCCACTGCACGTGACATATTATGGTTGACATGATTTGCCAATAAGCTCATGAATTATTAATGAGTGTTTGAAAGTTATATAAGAACTATCAAAGCTATCATTCTGTCTGCAAATTTGAGTTAATTACAATTTTATCAAGCAAAAAACAGTCTTCTGTAAAATACATTATGCAGTGTGACATCATTTAAGTCATATTTGCATGCCAAACAAAGTCTAATATCTTGATATACAGGAAAGATAACAAAGTTTTAGAAAAAAGTTACATTACGATTTCAAATGAAATTTGCAATTCTCTGAATAAAAAATTCTTCCATAGGCACTTCAATCATAGAAAAGCTGCAATATGTTTGGTAGAGTTAAACTATATACAAGCACTCTTAGCTTCTTACATGTGACTGAGGTGAAATTATAATCAGACAACTGGATTTTGCAGGAATTGAATCTTGGTAACAGAACTTTTTTCATACTGTAGTGGGACTCGGATTCGAACTCGAGTGTTGACAAACAGCGACGACGTGACGAGAAAGCAAGACAAGCACGTCAAGCCGCCATTGAGGAACTTAATCAAAAACGTGAACGAAAGAAGGACGACAATAAAAGAATGGCCAAAGAAGAATTGGTAAATACCAATGGTGAAGTTAGCCATGGCAACTGGCCATGCTATGCTAATAAACCTGCATCTAAATACTAGGTTTCTAAAGGTTTGAATAACACAAAACATTAAAATTTTGCAAAGCATGACCTGTTGCTAGGGCTAGCTTCGCCACTGGTAAATACTGTATACTTTTTGTTCAGGGTTTAATACAAAATGGGTTGCTTCATACTAGATTCGTCTGGATGAAGTGCAAGTAACTCTAAATATGATGTTTTGTACATTTGTTTAGTATCTGGTCCATTTTAAGAAGAAATGGAATGCATCTTTATAGTAGAAAACCTCATCTTGATCAACTTTTCTACAGTTGAAGTTTTTGGAAAAGATGACATTAGATGAATTATAAATTGGTTTTTCTTTGGTTTTTACTTTTACTCAAAAAATTCATCTAACGACATCATATTCGGAAATTTTGATAGCAAAAAAGTTGATCAAGATGAATTTTTTACCATAAAGATAATATATTACATTTCCTCTCAAAATGTCCCAAGTGTTATATATACCAACAACCAGGGCTTTAATAGTGCCCTTTAAGAAAGGCCAACATTTTCATTGTTACTACGTGTTTTAGAAATTTTTGGAAGAGAGCGGCAAAGTGTCGAAAGCCAGGAACAAACAACCAAAGCAGAAAAAGGTTGTAAAGAAATCCAGTATGAAGACTGCAGATCATGTTGTAGAGGCTGCAGGAAATGATCAATTACCAAGACCTGGAACTGCCAGTACTTTGGATAGTAAAGTTGAGGAAATATTTCAGGTAAGGAGTGTCAAGGTGGAATGAAGGGTATTGTCGCTTTGTATTTTCAGGTACTGTAGTTGCATTCCTATATTCATTAATCAAGTACTAGTTCAACCAATTATTTAAGTAATTAGTCAGTGAATCAATCAATCGATCATTCATTGAATCGTTTTAAAATTTGGTTAATCAACGAATCTTAGTCTGTCAAGATACGATGGTCTGAAAGCCCGACAATCTTCAAAGCCACAAAATAGAAGAGCTTTGTTTGATGTTGAACTGTACCTTACCCTGCACAAATCCTTTGTCTCAACTTCATTTAATATTATTCATCGTGGCTGCACGTTTCATCTCAGCTATCCCATTCGGACGATTACGTCATTATACGAAAATACAATGAACTCAGTCACCGTCACAAATTTTAAAGATAAACTCGATCAAAAACATAACTCACTGACTTGTGTTCAGTGTCCAGACCATCATACTGTATCTTGATAGACTTAAATGACTGATATTTTGTAGGAATCGAGAACAAACAGTATACAAGCTGGATCTCAACACATGAATGAAAATCCATCGGAAGCAAGCACAAGTAGAACTGAAAAAACTGCTAAAAAGTTAGTACTCTAGATCACTTAGAGAAATGCATGGGAGATGACAGATTCCAAAGACAAAGGTCATGATCTTCAATTATAAAATAACATGTATATAACGCGTGCTCTGATTGGTCGAAACCCGTGTTTGGATCAGGCCATCCAAACACGGAAGACTATCGTGTCGTTGTTATTTTATAAAACAATTACTTTATGGTTTCCCTGTTAGGATGGCCTGATCCAAACACTTGGGAATGTTGCTCTAGTTAAGAAAAGCGCGCAAAATCACTCGCCTTCGGCTCGGGTTTCGCGCGCTTTTCTTAACTCTCGCAACATTCTCGTGTGTTTGGATCAGGCCATCCAAACACGGAAACCATAAAGTAATTGTATATTTCAACATGTGAACTAAAACAGGACGAGGTTTTTGAGATTGTAAAATTGTTTGTTAATAGTTCAGTGGTGAGTGGTACGAAATCCACACTTGATGATCTGTTTGAGTCATTACGACAACTGGAAGAAGAACCAGCTGACATTAAGAAAGAAGAAAAAACCAGTACATACAGCTGGTGTAAGTGATTTTTATTTACGTTATAATGGCGCCCCGCAGCTACAAAGCACAGTGGTCAATAGGCAATTCCAGCTATAGACTAAATTTTGATCTAGGCAAAAAGAACAAAATCCATCACCTCAGCTACAAAGAGCATGTTAAAATTAGTAAAATTGCAAAGTTTGGTTGCGAAATGTTGGAAAATGCGGAAAATATAGCCCTGCGAAATTTACAAATGTTGTATTAATTTGTATTACGCACGGGAAAATGCACCACATTTAGGGCCCAAAGTGGAATTTTTCCGCGCCTAATGCAAATTAATACAAAATGTGCAAATTTCGTAGGGCTATATTTTCCTCATTTTACAACATTTCGCAATCAAACTTTGCAATTTTACTAATTTTAACATGCTCTTTCTAGCTGGGGTGACGGATTTTGTTCTTCTTGCCGAGATCAAAATTTAGTCTATAGCTGGAATCATCTATTTTAATTAATTTATTTTCAGTGGATGCTTCTGATTCAAAACAAAAGTTGACCGAAGATGCAGTCCGACAGTCCACGTTAGTATTTAGCTTGTTTGAAGTTTGTAATATTTTCAAGTGCCAAATAGGCAATTCTAGCTTTTAGTTTATGCCTGCAGGGGATGATGGGAAGTAAGGTATCATAGTGCTGATTATGCTGAAAATTTTCAATAAAAACTACCGAAGCAACCGAAATATTTCAATATTTACAAGTATAAGCTATCACTCCGTGTTTACACGGCCACCATTTTTATTTTTTCAGCATAATCAGCAATGTGATACCTTACTTCCCATCGTCCACTGCACGCATAAACTAAAAGCTGGAATTGCCTATAGAACATATTACCTTAAATGTATTACCAGAATGGAATATATTTTTCTATTTGAGTCTGAAGGGATTTCCTAGATACAAGAATAGACATAACAACAGGACATACATTTATATAATATCTACAGTGAAACACGCAATTTGATTGGTCAATAGCCGTGCAGGATGAGGCTATCCTGCACGAGGAATTAAAATGCCTTCGCGGGATTTTCGCGGGATTCTCAAAATGTCATTGTTTCACTGTAGTTATTTTATAAAACAATTACCAAATGGTTTTCTAAGCAGGATAGCGTGATCCATGCACTTGGGATGTTGCTCGACTTTCGGAAAGCGTAAAAATACACTCGCCTGCGGCTCAAGTATTTTTACGCTTTCCGAAAGTCTCGCGACATCCCTCGTGCATGGATCACGCAATCCTGCACGGAAAACCATTCGGTATTCCTTTAGTACAATACTTTTCACTTTTTATTTTTTATCCAGCAGCAATTCCAGTGTGTTGTCACAAGAAAAGCTCAGGTATTTTCTAAAGACATTTATCATAAACTATCACCATTGTCAGACTTTGGGGAGCCTACTTTTCTGCATTCATACTGTACTCGGATTTTTACCTACGTAACATAACATTAGACAGATTAGGGCTCCTTACTGGACCTCGAGAGAAAACATGATAAAGCTTTCTAGTATAAATAAGTTTAGGTTTCTCCTATTGTAACACTGGACAATAAGGAGTTTGCCCTCTATGGACCTCTAGGGTCTATCTCTACAACTGATAGAACTACCTGGTATAAATGAAGTTAGTTTAGCTCAGGTTTCCTCTTGTTGTAACAATGGACCAGTAAAGGTGCTCTTACTGGACTTCTCGGAAGAACAGTTTAGAACTGATGGAGCTATCCAGCGTCCTTAAAGTTAGTTTAGCACTTTACAGTAGCTTAGATTTCTTCCTGTAGTAACACTGGAGCAATAAGGGATGACTCTTACTGGACCTTTACAGTAGGGAGAACAGTTTAGAACTGGTACAGCTATCCAGTATAAATAAAGTTAGTTTAGTTTAAGTTTCCTCCTGTACTAACGCTGGATCAATAAGAGATTTTCCTTACTGGACCTCCAGGGAGAACACTCTACAACTCACAGAGCTACTGTATCCAGTATAAATAAAGTTAGTTTAGTTTAAGTGTCCTCCATTAGCAACACTGGACCAATAAGGGGTGCCCTTACTTGACCTAAGAGTTTAGAACTGATAGAGCTATCCCATGTGAATAAAGATAGAGGTTTAACATACTGTAGATATGGCTTTATATGGAAGATGTGCTGTTAGGTTATATCTGTTTTTCCATGTTCAGGACGATCATGTCATTTCTTGACGAAGTGGAGAAAACGGAACAAGACACTGTCGTAAGTCGTGTACGAGACACCAAGACATTTGCTGAAGCATCTTCAGTCAGTGCATCGTTTGTTTCACCCAGAGCAGTAGAAGCGGAGTAAGTCTTGCTTGTTCCTCGTATGAATTTTAGTGCGATAGTGTGCATGTAAATAGAGAATAATACATGGGTGCGCGGAAATACCAGATTTATTTCGAGTGTTGAACATGATACCTCACGAGTGAGCGCAGCGAACGAGTGAGATATCATGTTCAACACGAGAAATAAATCTGGTATTTCCAAGCATCCATGTATTTTTCTGTTTATTATATAAAGCACAGTCTTTGAAAAGCGATAATTTTTACAGAAAAGCGATAATTTTTACAGAAAAGCGATAATTGGAAAAGCGATAATTAATGCTATTAATCTATTTATGCCGGAACTGTGTTAGCCTATTAGAATACTTCTTTATAATTACGCTGTAATATTTTAGAAAAGAAATAGCATTATTGGAATCAGCGTCCGCTGCGGCGTCTGACGTCACAAATGCAATGATGTCTGTGAAAGTTGAACTGGATGAGAAGAAGAAGACGAATGAATTACTGCAGAGAGCGTTGGTAAGTGCCTTGTTTTAACTACATTCGGACACGTTCGGGACCTCACCAATGTGTCCGCTTAATAGGGGTTTGCAATAACGAACACTGCAGGGGGTAACGCCCAACTACTAACTAATTTAGGAACAGTAGTGATCAAAGGTAAGCGTGTCAACGGAGCGGCTGGTTTTGGTGTGGAAATTCCCTGCGAGTTCAAGTCTCGAGGAGACAGTTTTTCTTGCAATAGACCTTACCGTTCATTCACTTTTCACCCAATGGCCTCGTTTTCGTGTCAAATACTTACTCATGTTTCGTGCTTAGTAGGGTTGAAAATTACTTTGTTATTGAGCCTAAGAACAGCAAGAAACAAATTCGTCCAGGAAAACATGGGAATATAATCTTTATGACTTAGATTCTGCACTTCACTTGGTAGAATTAAACCCTAACATTCGAATATAATCTTTATCTGCCCTTGACATGCTAAAATAAGTTGGAAAAACAACATGGAAAAACATGCTAAAATAACATGGAAAAACGAGGCCATTAGGTAAAGGAGAATAATCAGTAAGGTCTATTGCTTGAAAGACGAATTAAAGAAAATTGGGAGGAAAGACCCGGAGAGCAACCCTCGTAGCACAGGAGTGAACAAACTAAACTCTACTTAGACGAGTTTTTCAAGTACACAACGTTAAGAAATCCCTATCCTCGACCTACAGTAGCAGGCTTAACTCAGAGGAACATCGCGCTAACCATATATGTCACCCTTGTTCACAGAACCAACAGAGAGAGTTCACATTACGCCAAGCCAGAGACATGGAGAAGGATGCAAAACAAAGACTCGACTTACAACGTCAAGAATATGAATCGACCATACAGCGACATTTATCATTTATTGATCAATTGATCGATGACAAGAAGATACTGAGTGAGCGATGTGAAGAGCTTGTTAAGAAACTCAAGGAAACTGACAAGAAATATGTGGACAAAATATCCTCATTGGAACAAAAGTAGGTCGCCTTTGGGTTATCCTGTGAATACAGCCTGTGTTGTGATAGCTGTATTCACACGAGTCTACCTTCAGTTATGTAGGCAATATAGCTTGTGAAACTCATTAATAATTCATGAAGAAAACACAAAAGAAATCATGAAGTTAAGGAGTTTGTATATCTGATACAAACTCATGCTGATTTACATGGACTTTAAAGTTCAATTTTCTTACTAAATATCATTCATTTATGTTAAATTGTTGAAGAATACAAATGTTCTCATCAAGACGTTTCACAACCTGAATAAGGTTACTGTAGTAGCCTCGTGACAAAAGGCCTTACCGAAATCTCAAAGTGTCGACGGTTTTTAAAAATCTTTTTCGGGTAGTTCAGGCACAAACCATGGTAGTTTACTGCACCATACTACCTACACTGTACCCCTCCCCCCCCTTAATGTTTTATGTAGCTTTTAAACATCCCAGTATTTGAAGAGAAGTTTAATGTTAAAGGTGGCTTAATTTATGGACATCATTACCATTGTATCAAGACAAAGATCCAGCACTGAGTTTCTTTTTGTTTTGTGTGTCACCTGAGAGAAGTTGTACAACAGATCTTGGAATTTCTTCAACATTTATTAATTTTTATTGATAATCTTATATTGATATTATTCTTGAAGTCACGCTGCAGAAATAAAGAAACAAAAAGACGTGATGCAAACTGCGGAGAAGCTGCGTCGAGACAAATGGATTAAAGATAAATCACAACAGATCAAAGAGTTGACTGTGAAAGGATTGGAACCTGACATTCAGAAGTTGATTGCCAAACACAAAGCCGAAATTAAGAGACTGAAATCAACTCATCAGGTAAGGTTGAAATCTTAAGCCCCGTAAGGACGAGAAAATTTTCCTAGACAAGTTTCCTCGATAAGTTTACCAGGGCAGGAAAAAAAGAATTTTCTTCCTGGGAGCACAACCTGGAGACAAAAATTTCCTGTAGATCAATGGAGTATTTTTGTGCTAAATCTGCATGTGCATAGTGTTTTAGCTGACCATTCAAGGAATAATGTCTGTCAACCATATGTTGTTGCATCCATAGTGAGACATGGGTGTTAAGGTTTCCTTCAAATTTTCAATAGCAAATCTTCATTCAAACGAATTTCCTGCAGGGGCCAGTTGTTTATAAATTTGGAAATATTTCCTCAGAGATCTCGTCTGAATCAGTAGGAGTTTTCTTCTCTGAAGTTTTGAAATAAACGGACGTACAGAAATACACAAACTAAAACAGCAGGTTAAATTTTAACCCCGGGTTAATGCTAATCCAGCTTTGAACAACTGGCCCCAGCGGTTTAACATTTCCTATTTTTTCCACCCCTGAAGTTTACCTTCTCGTGTGTGTGCAGTCAACAAATTTTCCTTGTCGAAAAGCTAGCATGACTACCGTATATTTTGGCGCCAATTTAGGCTGACCTTCTGGAGACAGACGAACGTGTAGGCAGACGATATCTTCATCAGATTGAGGAACTTCGTGAACAGTTGGAGAGAGAGAAAGACACGGCTTGTAATAGAGAACGTGATCTCGCACAAACCAAGTATGAAACTGATGTCTTTCTTTTGTTAATTGTGCAATTTGAGTTGGATGAACTGTTGTTCTAGTATACATTTAGGTGGAAGTTGTACCATAACATATTGTATTTTACCATGCCATAAGGTACATTACCATCCCCTACCATGGATTACAATTCCACCATATAGTATGGTTACCATACCATTTCATAAGATACCAATCATAAAGTTCTATACTATACCATAAATACCAATACTATACCATACCATACCATACAATACCATACCATACTGTACCATACCATACCATACCATACTGTACCATATCGTACCATACCATACATTGGGATTGGATTCAACAATGAGCATTTGCTTTCCTCGCGTGGGACTGAGGGTGAATTATAACCAGGAATGCAAATTTTGTGTAGGTTTCAAAAGCAAATGGAAGAAGAAGAACAAGCATTTCAACAACAACGACGTCGTCTTTATGCGGAGATCCAGGAAGAGAAAGAAAGATTGGCAAGTCAGGCGCAGAAACAACGAAAAGAACTGGATGATTTGAAAGAAAAACTGGAGGTGTAGCACACTAAAACTATAGCAGTGATATAACTTAACTATTCTTACCACTTGCGATTAGGGCAAGTTAGACATGAAAATTGGTTGCCCGGAATAAAATTCACTTGCCATCAGGTATAGTGTTGCCCTCACATATTAACAAAATTTGAAGCAAATGATTGCAGTGAGGATCGATTAATCGACATTCTAATCTTATGTTTTCCTTAACAAAGTAATTTAAAGACTTAATTGTGAAGTGTTGATTTCAGTTGATTTACTAGTAAAGAGTCAAAAACGGAATGCATAATATAACAAGCAAACAATTTTGTGTAGCAATTAATTTCTGGCAAAACATTGAAACAACTTGCCCGATCGGGCAACCAGAAAGCAACTTCTACTTGTCCGTAATGATTTTTACTTGCCTCTGGCAAGCTCTAATACCACGATTGCATTGGTGAAGACACGCATGCACCAACTCACTTGGGATGATGTGTTTTATTTTCAGGAATCTCACAAGGCAACAATGAATAGCGTAGAGCATTCGAGTAAACTATCTTTGGAAGAACTCGAACACAAACATCAAGTAAGCAATATCAATTCTAAACTGTTTTCCTTGGAGGTGTACTGGTGTAGTAAAGGCCATGGCAAAATGGTACAGCCTGTCCAATAAACCAATTCTTAATGGTACGGTGTTATTACTTATTACAAGCAAAAGCCGGGGTACCCAGAGAGGGAATCTTGCGTTTGGTAGAGTCAATCTGTAAGCATTCTTCTCACATGCGATGAGGCGGAATCTACTCAGACAATAGGCAATTCAAGCTATAGACTAAATTTTGATCTAGTCAAGAAGAACAAAATCCATTACCACAGCTAGAAAGAGCATGTTAAAATTAGTAAACGTGCAAAGTTTGGCCGCAAAATGTTGTAAAACGAGGAAATATATAGCCCTTACGCAATTTGCAAATTTTGTATAATTTGTATTACGCACGAGAAATTTTCCCGCGCGTAATACAAATTAATACAAAATTTGCAAATTTTGCACGGCTATATTTCCCGCGTTTTCCTAATTTTAACATGCTCTTTCTAGCTGTGGTAATGGATTTTGTTCTCCTTGCCTAGATCAAAATTTAGTCTATAGATGGAATTGCCTATTGTATATTGCTGAAATCCGTCCCTGGTCACAGAACTGAGTGGCAGATGTATAACCACTGTAATACCAAATCCAACGATGACCTTCTTTTACTTCCAGACTGAAATGAAAGAACTAAAAGAACGTTTGGAAATTGAGAAACAACAGTGGATTGAAAACTATATGAAGAAACAGGTAAAGTGTCAGAATTAGTTGAATAGGATGAGCTTACAGTGAAAAATACTAGACGTTTGAAAGCACTGCTAACGTTCCGATCTTTTCGAGGCAGTGCAGACACAAACCATGGCAGCTTATTGCTACCCACATTAGACCCTCACGTTTGAGATTTCTTATCTCTTTTTTCCATCCAGGATGCAATGTTGTTGCAGAAAGAACGTGAGCTCAAGGAAAATGTGCGCGAGTCAAGGGACAAGGTTTGAGTTTTATACAAAGCCTGGTTTACACTATCAAAGTTTCTGTGATCACAGTAGGAATCTTTGTTAAATTCTAAGTTTTGAAGGATTTGTAAGAAATGTTTGAAGGGACTGACAAAGTTAACAAATACTAAGTCAGTTTCCTCAAACATTTCTTACTAATCCTTCAAAACTTAGAATTTACCTATGCAAAATTCCTACTGTTATCACAGAAACTTTGATGGTGTGAATCGTTGAAATTAAATCATATAAAGCTCTGTTGAAGTTACATATTTATTTTAACTTCTTTTTCCGAAAGGAAATCGAGTTGGTTATTCGGAGACTTGAAGAGGAAACATCTCACGCCAGAGATGAATGTGAACGAGCAGCAGAGAATAGGATTAAGTAAGTCCATGAATTTATGTTCGGATTGTGCGTGGATTGCTTAATTAAAACCGTGATCAGGCAGACGTGGTGCGGTAACTGTGACGATTATTGAAATGCTTGTTTTAGGAGAGTTCGCGACAAATATGAAGCAGAAATGCAAGAACTTGAAAAATCTGAAAAAGTTATGCATGAGAAATACACCACTGCGAAGGTACAGGCATTGCCATACCATACCATACCATACCATACCACACTATACTATACTATAACAAACTGCACCATGCCATACCATACCATGCCATGCAATACCATATCATACCATACATTCCATACCATGTCAAAGCACACCATACCATATAACGTACCATGTCAAACCATACCACACCACCGACGCCATATTATACCATACCATGCTAAGCCACACCATACCATACAATATCTCACGATTCACACTATACCATACCACACTACACCATACCGCACCATACCATACCATTCCATACCATACCATACCATACCATACCACGTCACCACACCAAACCACATCACACCATTCCAATGCGTCAATGTACCACACCATATCGCAATCAGACTACATCATACTATATTTAACTCTCACTAGGAACAATGCAATGAATTTGAAGAAGAGGTGTCCAGGTTAAAAACCTCGGTGAAAAATGAAGAAAGAAAACTTGAAGATTTGAATAAACTGACAAAACAATTGCAAGAAGAGAGAGGACAAGTGGTTGACATCATCAGACAAGAGTTCGCCGACAGGTGGGTGTCAGAATATTGTACGAAATGAATAGAGGATATTACACGGCGGCGCGAAGTGTGACTTTTATCTTCGAGTGGTGAAAACAATATTTTACGAACAAGCGCAGCGAGTGAGTAAAATATTGTTTTTAACACGAGAAGTTAAAAGTCGTATCTTTAAGCCACCGTGTAATGTTCTGTTTATTATATAGTTCCAAGCAAAAAATTGTGAAATTTCACGCTCAAAAGGAAATTGGAAAAAGTCACGTGATCGATATCTTCACTAGTGAAGATACGGAAAATATCTCGCTGTGTATTTTTCAGTATCTCACTCTCTACTATATAATAATTATATATAACTACTGTATTTCGTGGTAAATTAACGGACAACTTGCATGTTAGACTAAATTTTAATCTAAGTAAAGAGAAGGGAATCAAACACCACAGCTAAAAAGAACATAATGAAATTAGAATAAAACAAAGGTAACTAAGCATCAAAACTATCAACATGAGTGAATAACTCTTATACATAACTCTAATGCTTAGTGACCTTTATTCTGTTTTATGCTTCTGTAAACCAGAACAATAGTTACTAGGCATGTGAGTTAGGGACCGGTCATTATTTATGGCCAGGGGGGGGGGGCGAAGAGAAAATGGGTGGGTGAACAAAGTTTAATGGGTGGAAATGGGTGGGTTGAATAAAAATTCGCCAAGCCAAAGGGTGGGTAAAGTAAAAATCATTAAGTCGGAAAATACTAAAATATTTGTATTATTTGTTTTATTAAGATTGAATAAATATCATTTACATAAATCGATTTGCAAAGTATTCCATTTGAACCTGCCATAATAGTCATGATAAAGTGACAGGGTTCATACTTGTTGGCTTTTTTGTTCTCTCAAAAACTCAAATAAGTCAATTTAGCTTTTAAATAAGTAAATTGACAAATTTTAGTTAGGGTGGGTCTGAGATTTTTGAATGAGTGCTGGGGTTGGGTGGAGAAAAAAAGTTTTTTTGAAGGTTGGGCCAAGAAAATGCTTCTCAGTGCCCCGCCCCCCCCCCCCCAACCATAAATAATGACCGGTCCCTTATCTGAAGTTGTGAACGGGGCAGCAACGAAGTAAACTTAACCAAATCTGTCTATTGTTTACCGAAGCTCACCAATTGACACGATAAGCTTTCACCGTGTAGACTGGTAACAACAGACGAAGATAACAAGAGGTTGAAAATTGAAATGAGTGAACTGCGAGCAAAACATCGACTGGAAGTTGAGAGAATTAATAATGCTAAAGAAGAAGAGATGGAAGAAGTACATAAACGGTAAGCGAAAAATAATGTAGAGGAAATGTAATTGTATATATGAACTTGAAAGATGTGTTTTGCAATTTGACTTGGTTGAACTAGAATGCTCGGTTTGGTGGACCTCTGGCAGGAATCGCACATGCGGCCCTGTGATTCCGATCAGGGATGTACAGTATATAGTTACCAGCGGGGTCACTTTTTTCCCACCTCAATTTTGGTACGGTAACTTCCTTCCCATATCTATATGAGTGGTCTAAAGAGAGAGAAAGTTGATAATTGGAACCTAATCAAGAGCAGTGAATACTCAGGAAGCTGCCAACAGTTTAGTCATGCTTTTTGTAGAATTTTCTAGGAGAAATTCTTGGAGAGAAAAAAAACAAAAATTATGGAGTTGTAAGAAAATTTCAAACTTTACTTCCATTTTCCTATTTCCCTTTTCATCTCTTCATTTAGTAGCACTTTCTTCTTCAAACTTCGGACTTTTTCCCCCACCCCCAAAGGGAGGGGCAAACCTTTGAACTATTATTCGATCAAGTGAGATGCCAACAGAATCTTGATGTTTACCCCGGGTTAATACATTCCTAGGTATTCTGTTTAATGTATTACATTAATGTATTACAGAGTGAAGCAAGCCATCTCAAAGAAAGAAGAAACGTTGAAATCTCTGAGACAGCAAAAAGAGGTGAGGTATAAGAATAGTTGAGGAATTACCACCGTTTGTATTTTAGTGAATATGGTGGGCTTATACACGGGAGGGCTTATATTCGGCTAGGCTTATATTCGGAGGTTTAGTGTTTACGGTATTTAACTAATTTACGAAATGTTTTATAGTCTGCTGAGAAAAGAGCGGATCACTTGGAGTTTCTTTTACACGAGCAAAGAAAAAAGCTGCTTTCATGAGCATGGCCTTGAAATGTGGAATCAAATTTTTACCGTTGTTTCCCTCGTCCAGCCTTGAAAATGGTATTTGAAAGAAAAACCAAGAACCTGGGGTGTATTGGTGACCATAGCTCTTCAGCTCATTTTGGCTTTGTTTTTCCACCGTCAGCCATTCAGGTTCAGAAACAATGAGATGTCGCAAGCAGGCAGCAGATAATCCCTGACTTTTGGTTGGACAAAGTTAAAATCATGCATGCATGGATTTTATAACATGAAACACTGGAAACAGCCAGATTTTAATACGGGTATTCTTACTGTACTATAGCATTAAAAAATATAAAATATCGGTAAAAACACCGACATAATGATAAATGCATCAAGGAACATCGTACCATATTATATCCGACACCATACCACATCACACCATACCATGCATACCACATCACACTATACCATGAATTGCCATACAATACTGTACGGTACTACGGTGTACCACTATACCCTACCATGGCATACTACTCTACCATGGCACACCATATACCATACCAGAGATACCATACCATGTCATACCACCCAATACCATACCATATAAACACCAGAGAACTGTAGATGGGATTCAACTACCTGAAAAATACAAGTAACCATACCATATACCATATACCATGCAATGCCATACCATACCACACCATATGTCATACCATACCATACCATATATCATACCATACAACCACACAATACGGCTGACAGTTTAAAATTAAAAGAGTATAGAAATAGCACACCAACCTATTATACGGAAAGCAATACAGGCGTCTATTTCGGGGGGGGGGGGGGGGGGCTGTATTTCTATATGCAATGTATGTATTCCTTCTTTACAACTCTGAAGTATATGTAAAAAACGATTTTAACAATTGGGACAAGTTACCTATTGAAAAAGTCCACTTTAGATTCTGCAAACTATATCTAGGTGTTGGTAAAAAAGCTAGCAATATCGCCTCAAGAGGTGAACTTGGAAAATTCCCTCTAATTATTAATATCTTCAAAAGACTTTTCAAGTACATCACTCATTTGAACTCTTTATCGGAAACAGCAATTGCCAAACAAGCTTTCCTAATCTCAAAAGATTTGTTTACTAAACAGAACACTTCTTATTATAGAAAAGCAATGGATATTTTGAAAGCATTTAACCTCAACACAGAAATCACTGACTTGGAATCAATCACAACTGAACTTATTCAACCTATTACCAAACGTCTTAAAGAAAATTACCTCACATTTTGGAAACACAAACTTGAAAATTCCTCGAAACTAACCTTTTATTCAACCATCAAGATAGATTACGAAGTAGAAAAGTACTTATCTATAATAAAAGACTCAAACAAAAGGAAAACCTTAACACGATTCAGATTAAGTAACCATAGCCTTCAGATTGAAACTGGTAGATACCATAATATAGCCCGAGAAGAACGACTGTGTAACCTTTGTCACTCGGGAGAAGTCGAAAATGAATCTCACCTCCTCCTCACTTGCGAGGCTTACGGTGACACTCGAGTAAACTTTATAAACAGTCTAAAAAACGATCTCACTACTACTGAGACAAACTTAAACGAACCAACTTTATCAGTTGACATAATGAAGTCAACTGCTAGTAACACCACCCTGAAATTATCGAAATTTATTTTTTCGTGTTTTGAGGAAAGACTTAAACAACTTGAAGCCGGGAATGCTGGTAGTCATTAGTTAAACTTTCCATCCTGTAAATAGTATCTTCTTATAGTCTACTTCTTAAATATTTTCATATGTTACATTGTTACGTTATAGTTAAGCTTTAGCAATACCTGTAAAATATGGTCATGCGTCATGCTATAAAGCGATTATCAACAATATGCGCCATAAAATACTGGCCAAAAAGAACACGAGAAAAAATGCGGCCCACATGTAGCTAAAAATACAGTACGTTACAATCAAATATGGCGAACAACACAGAAGAAGACCTATTAGATTCTGTGATTTTAGAAAAGATTTCTGCGTGTATTAAAAACGGTGAGAATAGTTTAGACTTAGCGTCTTTGGAAAACGATTATACTGAAATACCTGATCAAATATTTACGCAATTTGCTGAGCAAAATCTCGCGAAACTTACCGAATTGAATCTAGATTTTAATGATTTTGAACGCCTTCCTGACAGCATTTCTCGATTAAAAGGCCTTAGAAAGCTTTCGGTCGAAGGAAATAGTCTAATCGAGCTTCCTTTGAGTTTTGGAGACTTGGAGAATTTGCAAGAAGTACGGTTGAACGAAAATAAACTATGCGAAGTGCCTCCTATATCATTTGCCTATCTGAAAAATCTGCGAGTTCTGTCACTTGTAGCAAATCAACTTTCGGCGTTACCTTCTGAAATTTTAGAAGCTTGGACTCGCTTGGAAGAACTTTATTTGGACGAAAATGAAATTGCCGAGTTACCCGAAAACTTCGGATCGTTAAAATCGCTTAAAATCTTAGAACTAAGTGAAAACAAGTTGATGGCACTTCCAGAGGGATTTGGGGAACTGCATGAATTAGAGGTGCTTAATTTGAGCCGGAATAATTTATCGGCATTACCAAGCTCATTTGGCAACTTGGGTAAACTACGGAATGCTGATCTTAGTGATAACAACATATCGTTTCTGCCTGATGAATTCCATTCTGCAACCATCATAGAGAATTTATACTTGGACAATAATATTCTTGGAATGTTGCCAGAATGGTTTGGCCATCTGTCGAGTATCATTTGTTTGTCTTTGAACGACAATAAGTTGCAAGGATCTCCATTTCCCGATGTTTTTCCCAGAGTGTCAGGGGGCACTCTTAAAAAGTTTGAAATTGGAGGAAATGCAATTTCCAATCTCCCCGAGTCGATTGGGGAGCTCTGTCAGTTAGAAGAGTTGCATTTGGGAAGTACAATATGCGAGCTAGAACGACGGAATTTCCAAAACGGAAACTGGATTAGAGTACTACCTGAAAGCTTCAGTCAGCTTTGTGCTATCAAGAAATTATACCTGGATGAAAACCAGCTTGTAAAGTTGCCCGATTCCTTTGGTAATCTTTGCAACTTAACTTGGATCGACCTTGGTCAAAACCTGTTACCGTATCTGCCTGACAGCTTTTGCAATCTTGTTTTGCTGGAATATTGCCAGCTTTCAAAAAACGAGCTGAGCTCCCTTCCCAGCGAATTTGGCAAACTCGAAAAGTTGAAGGATCTTCGGCTAGACTCGAACATGTTGGAGGAACTGCCAGAATCGTGCGCTGACCTTCAAGCACTTCACACGCTGGATTTGTTTAACAATAAACTGACCAAAGTCCCTGATTGGTTATCCAAGCTATCGTCATTAAAAAGGCTTGATTTGGATAGCAATAAGTTGAGCTTAAGGTTGAAAGATATACCACATTTAGCGTCAAAAGGGTCGGAATATGCGAAACGAGATCCCAATCTGAAAGACAACTGGCGCGGCAAGATGAGAGCTGATAAAGTCAAAGCCGAAGTTGTGGTGATTAATTCCGAGGATGGGACAAACGGGGATGATTATGATGAAGATGACGCCACTCCGACGACATACAATGAGGGTGTTTTGTTCGCAGCAATGAGAAGAGGTTTGTCCATCTGGCGGACTCATAATGGTAAGGATAATTTGTTGATAACATCCTAATGGGTCGAACATTTGAAGACAATGAACATTTGAAGATATTTTATATTTTTAGCGAGTGATTTAAATTTATTTGAATACCATCCCACACTACACCAATACACCATACTTTACTATACCATACCAATGATCATACCATGTTGTGTTGTACCATGCCACACCAATCCAACCAAATTATAGCATGTCATACCACTTCATGCCATATCATGCAACATGCCATATACCATGCAGTGCTTACCTAACTCTATGGTATATTGTGTATTTGTGTGTGTTTTAATTTTAGGTCCAGAAGAAAGACAGAGGGAGCAAAGCCACCAAACTCTTGAAGATGTTGTTTTTAATGTGTTTGAAGATGTGATAGATAGCTCTACAAATCACCTCTCTGGCTTCTATTTGAAGTTAAATAAGAAACTTGGTTCAGGTACCTATAACGTCATTCTATGAAGCATGTTTGAATGATTCAATAAGCTTCGGACGCTAAGATGATTTTGCTTGTCAAGGGGAGAATGCTGGTGATTAATGGGTTAGTGTGCAAGTCTGAGTGGTTATATTACTATCGTAAAAAATAAGCAGAAACTCAACGTTTCGAGCGAAGGCCCTTCATCAAGAGTTAGTAGTCTCCTCCCTTAACTAATAAAATTGTCTGACAATAGACAGAGTAAACTAAATTAAGTAAAGATTTTCCCATGATCTTTTCAACTTCAAAACTTTTTTCTGACAGAAAATTTGTGTCGACCGATCACATTTTACAAAATTTTCTTTCTGCAGAAAATTTTCCTGAGTGGACATGGGCCTTCACAATTATCTTATTCTTATTTAGATTTTCAAGATGGTGAAGATTGGGACAGAGAAATCAGTGAGTTGTGGGGGAAAACCCCAGTGGATAACCACACACCCCGTTTGTGTGTTGGTGTGGATGTTTCCGGGGTCGAGCTTGAAAAGCGTGATGAATACCTTGCCATGTTAAGTGCCTACCCTCCTGCCAGCCAGGCTTACACAGCAACTGCAACATATGATTCTATGGCTTGTAGGAAGTTATTTGATAATGATAATTCATGTAATGCTTATTCAGTCTCATATGCAATTACAGTTCAAGGACAATTTGAAGATGCAGAATAGTTTTTGGGAGATGAATCTGATAGGCTGAATGTAATCCCATTGACAAACCAAAAAAGACAATTTTGTTCTTAATGGTTTTTGTTGAGAGTACCGTAAATGATCGATTAAGCACTCATTTACATGCGGGCATTCAGGAGAGGTGCTTTTTCAAGAGCGGCCCTTGATCGATCATTTATGGTATATGTATTGTGATGAATCGTTGCTGTTGCAGTTAAAAATTTAAATAAATAATTATTTTCATGAATAAAGCAAGAACGTCGGTTGGGGAAACCACTTTACTTTAGTGGTTAGGGGCAGTGAACTCTAATATTAGTGAGCTTAAGCAAGTGACGTTTTTGACAACACGGACGTCGACCGGAAGTAAAGTTGACGTTTTTCACCAATCACAGCCCTTGATCCAGTCTTCTGACGTTACTCATGCCGTTCGTGTTGTCAAAAACGTCACTTGCTTAAGCTAACTGGAAGGCTAACTCCTATGATGAAAGTCTATGATTCGTTGAAGCCGGCGCGCGGGAAAATCAGCTTTCAAAAGGACTAAGGAGAGTTTCGAGGAGTGAAAAAAATTCTGTCAAAAGTTTGTTTTCGAGCAAAAATTTGCAAGAAAAACACTTTTCCCATGGGAATACAACAATGACTTAGGATTTAAACCAAGTTTCCGATTAGTTCCGACTGTTTTACATCTCTCTGCAGCAAAAAGTAAGGAATTTTGCTTTTGTATTTTGAAAAAATGACGAAAGTTTGGATGTGCCGAAGGAAATCTCGCCGTTCAACTAAAAAATATATACTATAAAACATTTTGCCAGTCCCAAAACTTATGTTGTACTAAACCCCAGGTATTGTTATTGATCCTGAGCTTTTAGTCCTTGTTTTAGTCGCTCTTAAACATAAATAAATTGGCGTTTTTCAAGTGATGTTATTTTCGTCATCGGCATGTTGTTGGCCACTATGAGCACTTTGAATATGGCAATATTTTTGTCAATTTTCAAATGCTTTTTTTTTCGACCTTAAAACGTTCAATCTTCTTGAAACTTCGCATACAGATGTATTTTGCATGGGTTTAAATAATTCCTGAGGTATGACGTCTTAGTTTTATCTTAAACTTCCAAAAACTCAGAAAAAGCAGCCCAAAACGCGCGGTTTTTCTGACCGTTCAAGCTTATGGCCGTGTTTTTTCGCATTTTTTTGCTAATTCGTGATTTGTTTGCTTTGCGAATATTAAATTCATTTATAATACTACTGATATAAATTAAATTTGGTAGTATAACTAATATTTTGGGGCAAGATTTTTCTGATCGAAAAATGTGCATATTTTGAAAAAAAAAATTAAAAAGGACTGGGTCTACCTACAAAAAAGCTTCAAGCACGGCTTCAACTTCCCCCCCTGACTTAGCCTTCCAGTTATTATTAGAGTTCACTGGTGAGGGGTTAGGGGTTTGTTAGGGGTTAGGGGGTTGGGTTGGGGTTAGGATTGCTCAGGTATGTACCTAGCACGGGTACTATCCACATTCTAAAATTTAGAATACTGGGTAAGTACCCATTTAGAAGTAGCGAGCCGTTAGTGGGCACATATACCTTGACGCATCGTGCCTCGGTAAACAACCACCGCTTCAATCCTAAGTAAATCATTAATATTCCATGATAGTACCGTCCCTCCGGAAATGTTGGGAATTAAATACAAAAGACGGGGGGTGAGATGCATCAAATATTTATGTTTTAAAATGGCGGACGAAAGCGAAGAAGGAGCGGTAACATATAAACTTCGGAAATTTACAGAAACTGATAAAGTGAACTTCATTTTGGATTCAATTCCAGAAGCCTGTAAAACTATTACAAAAACTGAGAGGGCACTTCAGGACTTGAGAGGTAATTTTGTGTTTTTAATCGACCATTTTTGTTCTGTACAAATACCACGGACCACTGTCAAAAATTGTAAATGTTTATATAATAATTATCTTTATTGCAGAGATTCTAGACAGATATCAAGAACAACCACATCTACTTGACCCATACCTAGGTAACGTATGAGATTAGCCTGGGACAAACTAATCTCAATCTGGGCCTATAAAGCTGAAAGTTCTTTGTTGCAGACTTGCGAACTGCCGAACTCTACATGTATTGATTCTTAAGAAGTTGGAGTCTGCAACTAAGAATTTATTTCCTGTGCCTGTTAGCATTATGCTGTAGAGTTGTAGGGCTGTTGAATTGTAGAGTTGTAGGGCTGTAGAATTGTAGAGCTGTTGGGTTCTAGAGCTGTAGAATTGTAGGGTTGTAGAATTGTAGAGCTGTAGAGTTGTACAGCGTTAGGGTTGTAGAGCTATAGGGTTGTAGAGCTGTAGAGTTGTACAGCAATTTATTAGGAATAAATATTAAATAATAATAAATAGTAAATAATTAACAAAAAACGTTGTCCCAAAACTCAGGATCCCAGAAACAAAATATAATTTCCTGCTATGCCTAGCATATCCATTGTAAGTGACACTGCATTGTGCTATTGAGATTTATCAATATGTAAACACAACCTTCTGACAATAAACTAAATGTTTTCATTTAAGAGTCATTCACCGGCAAGTTATTATGCATAATTCAGGATTCGACATCAGATCAGAAAATATCATCACAAGCTTTCAAATACCTTTATCTTTTTACAAAAGTAAGCTACGTACTAACTGTATGACGCATCCTTTTTTTTCCATAAATTATTTCTGATTTCAAAAAAAGTTGAGTACTAAAGCACCCATTTGTTGGGCACCAGCACTCTCCTCCTGATGAGTAAAATCGTCTGGAGTTAGACAGAGTAAAATATTTGCCACTTAATGGGACAACTAGACACATGGGTATGTGGTCTGGTTAACACAATGAATGCCCTTTTGACCAGAGGCGTGGCCCTGGCAAAATTTTGGCCCCCCCTGGCACAATTTGGGGGCCCCTTGATAAAATGTATTGTATAAAAAGGGAATCCTTGATTATATAGCTTCATGCTGTCAATAATGCAAAAATTCTGTAGAATATATGCTTTGCTGGGCATCGGTGTGAACCTAAAATCACTTGTTCGCTTATTTGCGGCACACAGCTTGAAACACATACCTTTTCTAACCTTAATTACTTCAATATGTATTAAATGAGGGTTAGATGAAGTTTAAACCAATCTGTTTTTTTTTTACAAGTAGTGAATTTTTAATGCTGGCTCGGCAGTGGCGCCATGGCCGAAGGGGAGGGGGGGGGGTTG